CATACGTATGACTAGTCACTGCTCTGATTGAAGCTTTTATAGACCTACCCAAGGTAGTATGAAATTAACTTGGGCGGCATCACTCACATATAACTCATTAGGGCTGTAAGATCCCCATCCCCTGAAGTTGGTGGTTAGGCCAAATGATACTCAGTGATTTCATATCACTATGCTATCATTACCTAACATACCTAATTAAAAAGCTAGTTTGGGTATACCTGTATGAACTGTAGCTACAGCAGCATAGACATAAATCTGAAGCAGACAATCAACAATCATTCCAATTAATAGCAGATGTTCTTCTGTTTGGCTATTAGAGGTTCCTTTCATTTTCTTTAAATAATACAGGTTTACAGACTAAACTGCAACTTAAAGAGATACCACCATATCTACCCCATATCTTTAAAAAACATTACTGGCATCTGTTTTAGGATTCTGGAAGGCAGGCATGCAGATGTAATTTGTTTTTAAAATTGTGCAGTTCCTATGGTCTGTTAAAACAAACAAACAAAATCAGTGGAGGACACTGAATCATACTGATGTGATTATAACAATCTCAGCTTCCCTGGATAAAGATAGATCTTTCTCACATGATTAAGTACAGCACTGTACAATGCTCTGGACACAAATGTATATTCAAGCAACTCAGTCGTTGCTGAGAGAATGCATCAAAACCTTTCTTTTTAAAGAACAAACTGCTGTGTCAAGAAAGGGTTTGCAGCAAGAAGGAGGAACCATATACTATACGTACATATATAGATCTATCTATCTATTTATATTGGCTGATTGAAATACTGGTGGTTTGGGAGAGGCTATTGGGGTAGGAGGAGGCCTCATTGGGGGGCCCACTTCAGTGTGGGTACCCCAGCGCCAGAGAGGGTGCAGTATTCGGGATGCACAGGCCCCAGCGCCAGAGGGCGTAGTTATAAAAGGCCAAGGTGGCCTTGGTGCTTGCGACGGACAGTGGAGGTTTGGGGCAGTTACCCAGCTTTGAACTTGCAGCCCCCGGACTGTAGAGCCAGTGGATGGGCCTCTGGGCCAGGGAGGCTGGGCTCCAGATTATGGCAGAAAGGAGGTCCATGAGCCTAAAGACCATGGAGCTAGAGCCTCAGAGTCAAACCCTATCAGGTGGGTTTAGATGGAGAGTGTCCGGAGGTGATGTGACTCCACCAGATTGTTGTTTGAGGCATTAAGTGACATGGCTACCTGAGTGACATTTGGTGACGCAGTGGCGGAGGAATGTGACCTTAATATGCACCATCATGCGGACAGTGCGTGATCGCTTATAGCCTAACCAGTCAGGAGTTACCCCTAGAGCGTGACTGGCCAGACCAGCATGCTGAGGCCTCCAGAGTGTTCCATCAAGGGGGGGACCCTGATTGGCTAGGGAGTCTATAAAGGGGACTGCGTGCCTCGGCGTAGGGTCCCCGGACGCTCCCAGACTCCGGTCCTTGGGATCAGATCAAAAAGACAGCCTGATCACCTGTCTTGCCATCTGGACAGACCCCTAGGCTTCTAGCTAGATTGCTAGCATACGCTGCTATAGCTTATAATTAGACCACACGCAATCTGGAACGCCCTGTGTGTTGCCCAACTAGGCATCATACTTGTATCACCACTACACCTTACTTGTCACTCGCCGCTACTCATCATTTGTTCGTTTTTCTACCCGCACCACATCGTCTGTGTCCACCTGCTACTGTAAATAGTCCTTGTAATTAGTTCCTGTATTCATCAAGTTACTTCAACTTGTAAATCATCTGGTTGACTTGTAAGTAAACTTATAAATTTTCCTCACATACCATTTGTCTCAGTATCATGCTCTTTCTCCCTCTCTCTTACACCTGGCATCCCCGAGCGTGTCTGGGTTGGTGTCACTACCCAGTGCCCCACTCGACACGCAACTGCCGCCGTTTCCCAAGCACTATCCGGGAATCGTGGCCCACAGAGAGGTGTAGCTAGAGAAAGATGGGGGTCAGGGCCCATGGTGGTGGAGAACCCCAACATACAAAAATACAACAGGCAGTCTCCTGCTTACAAGAACATCAGTATAATATTTTCCATCAAGATGTGGCAGGCGAATAGAGAGCAGGACATGAAGAACCTTAAAAGGGGACTCCAAGGGCACCCCACATAGGGCGCAGATAACAGAAAAGATGGCGCTGGGGAGGGTGACTTGTTACAGGCGAGAACAATTGCTAATGAAGAAAGCTAACAAACTTTTAAGTCATTTGTGTGATTTTTCTCATCTAAGCACTTGAAATTTCAGCGTCTGTTGCCCAGGAGTGTGAAACA